GCTCAAATTAAAGATAAAACCCCACAAAACACAGTCTACCATCTATATATACTCACAGCATGATTAAATTAAAATATACATTAATGTTCAGAAATATTTACACCAACGCTGTAAATTCAGCCAAATTTTCACCAATAACAGCCAAAACACAAGAATAAACAATATATCCTTAAATTTTTCAGAGCATTAACATTCCACACAGCTTATAAAACCACCAGCAGTGAAAAATATTTGTTTTTCTCTCACATTTGATGCATATTTGTCCTCAAATATGATGAAATTAGCGACTCAAAATGGCCGACCGGAAGTCTTTTTATCCAAATAATTTTACTTCTCCTGGCCACAAAAATCCCTCTTCCATGTCTTGAAGCACACGAAACACTTAATAAAAAATATATTTTCATCTTATCAGCAGGTTTAGTCAGATAACTGGACAAAAAACAGTGGAAAACAATGTTTTCCTGTGAGCATTAGCTTCCTTCCTTAGCATAATAACACTGCCGAAACATGGCCGCCTCCACTGTGTTATCATCTTCCATCACTAACAAAGTTCCCACCCCCTCTATTTATACATTAAAGGAAACGTACGATGATTGGCTACACAGCTGTGGYGTCAGAACGAAGCTCAGAGCTGATTGGTTGATTCTACAGTCAATCAAAGCTAAACAGACGAAAACCAGAAGTTGGTCACCACTGATGTGTTATTGGACCTAGACAGGCGAAACTTGAACCCAGTTGGTCAAATGAGGTGTCAATCAAAAGAGGGCCTAGACGTCAAGTTTGACTCATTGCACACGGACACAGGTTGAACAGGAAACAGAAATAATACTTCAAAATAAAACGAATACAGAATGTTAACAACAGTCTTTGTTAGATAAAGTTTAGATTTGTCAAACACTATCCTCGTTGTTCTCCCTCAGGACCGAGGCTACTTTGAGGAGCTGATCACCATGCTGGAGGCCGCYCTGGGCCTGGAGCGGGCTCACATGGGCATGTTCACAGAGCTGGCCATCCTTTACTCCAAGTTTAAACCCCAGAAGATGAGGGAGCATCTGGAGCTGTTCTGGTCCAGAGTCAACATCCCAAAGGTCCTGAGAGCAGCGGAGCAGGCTCACCTGTGGGCCGAGCTGGTCTTCCTCTACGACAAGTACGAGGAGTTTGACAACGCCATCATCACCATGATGAACCATCCAACAGACGCTTGGAAGGAGGGCCAGTTCAAAGATATCATCACCAAAGTATGCTTTCATCAAAGCACGGGAAAATTAACATGCTTCAAAATGGTTTTATGGCCACTAAAATAAATATGAACATAATGCAGTGATTTATAAACAAACTGTGTTTTGTGTAGTTTTACTATCATTAAATGACTTTATATTTTTATTGCTGTAACTTGACCCACTCTCCTGTGCAGGTGGCCAATGTGGAGCTGTACTACAAAGCCATCCAGTTCTACCTGGAGTTCAAGCCTTTGTTACTGAACGATTTGCTCATGGTTCTGTCTCCGAGACTGGACCACTCACGTGCTGTCAACTACTTCAGCAAGGTCCGTCCAGCTCAGCCAGTAAGAAAAGATCTTAAAGTTTAAACTGGGGTTTTCACTGGACTGGTTTGTTTGTTACCAGGTGAAGCAGCTGCCTCTGGTCAARCCCTACCTGCGCTCAGTCCAGAACCACAACAACAAATCAGTCAATGAAGCACTTAACAACCTCTTCATCACAGAGGAGGACTATCAGGTGAGGCTTTAACTGGGTTTGAAGTTTGATTTATAAAATGTGTTTTTAATAGATTATTTATGTCACTTGTTCCAGGCACTGAGGACATCAATAGATGCTTATGATAACTTTGACACCATCTCACTGGCCCAACGCATGGAGAAACACGAGCTGATTGAGTTCAGGAGAATCGCTGCCTACCTCTTCAAAGGCAACAACCGCTGGAAACAGAGTGTGGAGCTCTGCAAGAAAGACAAGCTGTATAAGGTACTCCTGTTTTCTACAGTATGTAACGGTTGGTTTGACAGGTTCACATTAAAGACGAATGTCAAAGAGGTCAAAACTGAACTTGAGAAAATGCATTTCCTGTTAAAATGTTAGTGTGGATGCTGAAAGCTTTAATGAGCTAAAGTTTAATGCAAATTCAATGAAAGGTGAAAGAATAAAGGCATGACTTTCTTACATTTGCAGAAATAAGTTGATAGAAACACAAAAAGTAGAAAGTATAGCTGAAATATAAAAAAAGCTAAAATTAGCAGCAATTAGAAGCAACAAGTTGTAAAAAAATTTAAATGAGCAGAAAAAAGGACAAAAGTGGTAATTTGTTGTAAAATAGCTAAAACTGCCAAAATTTTCAGTAAAACAGCTCAAGTGTAGCTGAAAATATTTTAAAATACACAATGAAGCATAAGGAGCACAAGTTTGCTGAACTTAGCAGAAACTAGAGAAATTGCATTTCCTGTGAAAATGCTAGTGTGAATGCCTGTTGCTGAAAACGTAAGCTGAAAGCTGCTGAAGAAGCTGAAACTGACCTGGACATATTTTGTAAGTCAAGCTTGAAAAGCTGAAAGAAGCAAATAAAAAGCCTAAAAACGTAAAAAGGAGCAAAAATATAGCTGAATTAGCATAAAAAGCTAAAGGCTAAATTAGCTGAACAAAGCAGAAAGCAAGCATAAACTAGACATGGGTTTTTACGATGTAAAAACA